AAGTTTGTAGCTGGTCTACTTTGATGTAGCAATCAGGGTACTTGGAACAATGGATTTGGAGCCTGGAGGTATAGTGATATATAACTCAACTTACGTGTGAATTGCATCGGTCTGGTCTTGACTTGGAACAATTTCAATGGGGTGTAAGTGTTTAGGGTGCAAGTTTGTTGCGCCATGGAGATGGACTTTGTGGTTAATGATCTTATGGTAGTTTTTGGAATTTTCCTTTCTGGTTTTGTTGCACCCAATGTAGGTTGTCACAATTATGTATTGAATGAATTTATTTAATTTGTATTGGCATATTTATTTATTCAAATATGTATAAGCATGAAATATGGGGGAAGTTCCAATTTCTATAATTAATTTTCCATTTCTTTGAATCATAAGTAATTTGGTCAATGAACTTCAAATACAAAAAACTGAATAACAAGTAGCATAACTGGAAAACATTTTTTTATGGGTAATCATCAAAATTGCAGTGAACCTCTAAGGTGTTAGCTTAAACCAAGCCCCTCTCAAGGTTTACAAGTGTGTACTATCATCTGTTCAAATGTATGCCCTGATATGTAGTCACTAGACTTGAAAATTGAAACTACTAACTCTATCTAATCGTTCTCTATAACCTGCTGCGAACAAAAGAATTTCAGCATGAATCCATAGTCGAGTTTCTTTCGTGAATTCCATAGTAGAGCTTAGAAAATTTACTATATTAAAAAAGTGTTATGATACAAATTTTTAATTAAAGTTTTTTGTTCTCGATTCAACGTTTCGGAGAGTATCAAGATATTCACCAACAACTTCACCGGGGAATTGCCGTTGGAGATGGGTTTACATTCACGGCTCGAGATTTTCGATATCGCGATTAAAGGATTCTCAAGCTGGCTGTCGACGAATCTCGACGCTGGAAGGATGCTCGCCGGGCTGGTTGCTCAATCGAACAATTTAAGCGGAGAGTAGCTATGAGTAAAATGGTGTCTGTTAGAAGAAAACCATTGAACTCCTTTGCAATGTTGATATTATAAGCATGGATCATAGATTGGATATGTGATTGTGTATTTATTTTCCCGTTCATCACTCTTTCCCAGTTATGATTATATAGACTTAGTGCATTTGAATTTTCAAACTCGCAAGTGATTATGTGTTTTACAAATGGAATCTTTTCCTACTTACTTGGAGTTACTTTGCCAGTTTTTCAAATGGCAACAAATTGTAAAAGTACGAACGGTGTTAAAAGTTAAAACATGCCAATTTTAATTTATGAAAACTTTTCCTAAGTGATTACTTCATCAAATATTCAATTGGATAGATACATGTCCATGAATAATTTATAAATTTGGCTCAATTTCTGTTAAAGTAAAATTTCATATTAATCAACCAATTTGATCACCAACTACATGAGCAACATGTGTACGAGTTCGAGAACTTTATGTTCAAGCTAACTAAACGAGACTATTGATCAGTAGGGAATGGATTGATGCTTGACTTCAAAAAGGAAATTACTAAATGGTAATTAGATGACGTAGAAGAAGTGATTAGACTCACCATTCACTATAGCTACTCCGGCCAACGGGCCAGGTCCAAACTAGTACATTTTAAAGAATTTGATTTGCTCCATTTCAAATTTCCTGCAACGAGAGTGAAAGTAGGAATGGTATTTTCGTCTACACAATCAATTTTTTTTATTTCACATAAAAATATATTAATGCTAGGATTTGAACCATGGTCTCTTCCATCAAAGACAAGAAGTGTAACCAATTAGACTAGACACATTTGTTGTACTTTGTTAATACAAAATATAGAGGAAGTTAAAATTATGAAAAACAGAGTACTTTTCTATCATGGTTAGTTCGCCCGCTAAGTCTCCTATAAGTATTTTTTGGTGTTTGATAATTCTATTTTCATATTTTAATAATTAATTTAGAATTTTTTCTAACTTATAAATGAAGAATAATCTTAAAATCTCAACACAAATATCATTGGTTGGAATATTGCGCATTGAATGGAAGTGTTGAATGAAGTGTTCAATAACGACATAAGAACATTGGTACCATACATTTCAAGAAAAATAAACATGATAAACACCGATACCAATTATCTCGACAATCTATGCTAAAATTCGAAGTTGTTTAATCATTCAATTTGAGTGATAGTTTAGTCAAAGCAAGCAAATAATTCACGATTGCGTATGAACAAAAATAAAAACATATGTATTGTATTATAAAAATGTATTTATTTTAAGAATCTAAAAAAACAATCCAGACTTCCATATACAACCCCTTATTTCAACATTGTAATTTATGAAACAATTTTTATCAACATGATGCGATGTTCAAAGTAAGGTCCAATTATTAATCACCAGTATATAGTATTCAGCTTAGTGAACTATTTCAGTATCCACAACTAACAATTAATGATTACTTGCTTTCTGTTTGAGGGTTTAATGTAACACTCTCATGCCTACACTCTAAGCATTTTTTTTCTTTTTTCAATATTTTTTGCAGTTATTTGTTAAATCAACTATGTTTCTAGCTTTCCATTCCTAATTATTCATTGCTTCCTACCAACTTATGGGAATGATGATTTTTTTTCCACGTATAATCTATTGACTATGAATGTTGCTTATTACTTAAATTCAACGGTATCTATGTTAGGTGTGAATATAAAGTACTGAGTAGCTAAAACTCTACTTGAGTTAGTACGATCTTTTGTGCTATCAATTAAAATTCAATATATTATTATCTTATTACAATTTAGTCATACTAATTGTGCAGTAGGGGACATCTTATCAAAATCGTATCGAAAGACTCCTTAATTGATAAGTTTCAGGATGTAATCAATTATATCAAATAGAAGTGATAAAATTTATAGGATGCTCTCAATGTTTTCTATAATTATTGAGGTTCAACAACACGTTAGTCGTAAGATAATCATTGGGCATTTGTCTATCTCATAGCTCGCCTAGACACGCTTAGACGTTATAATAAAAATAGTAATTTTTAATAATGATGAATGAAGTAACAGTTCTGAAGCACTTTCATACTTCAGTTCAAATAATTTAACAACAAGCAAAATAACTCTCAAGTTTATAATTTTTTTATACCAAATGGTGTAGTTAATTCATTTATGAGCTGAAATAGCTAATTATAAGCACTTAAATTTTTAAGTTAAAACTCATATGATACAATTGTTTGACGAAATGGTTTTTATATAGAGTGGTTCTATCGAGAGAGGTCTCTAAGAAACATGGCTTACTTTATTATTCCTTAGGTAGATATAATACATATCTTCATCGTTACTTTTAATTGGATTCAATTTAGTATACTTTTTCATTTAGATAGATTTTTTTAATGATTTTTTGGGATATAATATATCATTATTGTATGATGGTGTAGGATATTAGTTCCTCTCATTTTAGGTTCAAATTGATGCATTTCCCGCTTTATCGTTCCCTTTTATCAGTTAATAATTTTTATGATATTTTTCACTATGAAATATCGTGACCAGAATCTATACACAACAATTTGTGTTTTTTTTTTTTCCGTTTCCTCTTCTCTTGATTAGATATTGTGTCCATATTTATTCTTATATTGATTATTGAATTACTACTTTTTTGTTCTGAAGTTTATGAAACTAAGATGCATTTTTTTGAGAAACATGAAACTAAAATGCATATCGATAAAGAATGTAAGGTGTCATCTTCCCTCTTAAGGCTTAAGCACTACATATCATTGTTTACCTACTGTTAAATCAAAGTCTTTCTAACTTGAGTACGAGCTACAATGACTTTTATTGTTGTCGATTTTTCTCAAAATATTAGGTATGTTGCTTTTAGTTTTCGCATTCTTTTCAGTTTGATTTAGCTTTTTATGTGCATGCTCTATTAGTTGAACTTGCCAGTTGGAGATCTACATGCTTTGACTACATTAATGTCACAGTGACTTCTATATGAAATGCCACTCGAAACATGAGTATGTGATTTAGTTTGTTTCTTATTAAGAACACTCTAAACATATACTTTGTTCCATTATATCATTGAATACACTAAAGTCAATGGAAAAGTCGAAACATTTTATCATACACTGAAGATTGATTATGCATGTTTGATGTAAAACAACTCTTACCATTGTTCTTCTTAGACGTTTTTATATCAATACGACTTCTTTTGAAAATATGTATTTATGTTAGTGTAGTTGGACGTTGTTCGTCATTTTTAAAACTTCGTTAGTCAAATACATCAAATACTTTCCTTTACTATTAATGGAGAACTTACCAAACTAAATAGTTATACCCCAACAACATAAACCATAACAAAAATATATACCTATAAACATGACAACATAAGAATCAAACTCTACACTTATACATAACAACAAATCAAACTCTCCGGCCAAGAGGCCGGACCATAATCTAGTTTTATATTGTTCCTCTTCCATCTTTTTAGGTCCAAAGTGGAAGAGATGCAAACATAAGGCTATCATAACGAAAGAAGTTATAGATAAGTAAACTTATCAGTAGAAGAAAGTGTTTTGCTCCTTTTGTATCATGCGATTGTCCAATGACGAGGATGTTCCATACGCCGCACCATCAGTAGCTTGTATTCGATCCAATATGACCTTGAAAGAAGTTACTTAATGCTATCCCCATGCTAATAAGAGGAATTTGTACATAAAGAAACGTTCAATTTGAAAACTATCATCAATAATAACATTAGATCAAATTCATATACGCAAATTATCCATCTAGCCGACGTGGTTTATATTAGATCGGTATGGAAAGAAGGTAAGCAAGAGAAATGGGTAGAAGCCCATACCCGCTTTATATGATCGGCGGGCCAAACACGATCCAGTCAACCGCAGGTTCAATTCTATCTGTACCGGCCTCCCTTCTCTTGACCGCATCGCTCGCGCGCCGCACTTCCAGTCCATGGTAGTTTTAGATTTCAATTAAAAAATTTGACCTTTTTTACCAGAAAAACAAAACAAAAGAAAAACAGCGAAAAAGAGTTGTGAATTGTGATAGGGAAGTCGTGGTGTGGTGGGGAAGCACTCCTCATTTATGTCATGTGAAAGTGAAACCCGACCTCTCGACAGAAGAAGACGACCCTGCCTTGTTTTCCTTTCCCTTCTACTTTACCCTTTTGCTTTCACGAAGAGGAAACTCCTTCAACCCTTCGAAGAACTAACCTGCATTCCTGCATCGAAACCCATCTTCAATCATGGGCAGCGAATAGTAACCCCCGTTTATCCCTTGTCCCCTTTCTCTTCCCCTTGTACTTCGATTCTCTGCTTGGTTATTTTGTCGATTAACTTTTATCTGTTTTTCTTTGCAGCGACTACCTCTTCAAGCTTCTGCTAATCGGGGACTCCTCCGTTGGGAAATCCTGCCTGCTCCTTCGATTCGCTGTAATTTTGACTCCCTTTGACCTCCCTCTCCCTTACTTTATGTTTCTTGCTTTCGTTACTGTGGGTTGGTTTCTTGGCGGTGTTGGGTAAAACTGAGCGATGCTGGTAGGTTTCGTCGTCTCTGGAGGAATGCGGATATGGGTTTTATGATTTACAGTGTAAAGTTTGTTTCTTTATTCGTTTGGCGGCTATTTGAGAGGATCAATAGCTTCCAATTTGACTCCTCTTTCGTGGGTTCTGTTTCTTGTCCACTTTCAGGATGATTCCTATGTGGATAGCTACATCAGTACCATTGGGGTTGATTTCGTGAGTCCCCTAAAAACTATCCTGTCACTGAAGTGAAATGTGCACTTCACCGAACTTTTGTTTGTATGTTCGTTTTGGTTGCACCAAATGGCATAAGGTTAGATGATGAGTAAAGACTTTGGAATGTTGATTGGCTTTTGTAGAAAATCAGAACCGTGGAGCAGGATGGAAAGACAATCAAGCTGCAGATTGTGAGTACTCTGACCTGTTTTCACTTGACAGTATGATTTCAGTTCGTCTTGCTCGTGTATTCTTTCTGTCGGGTCCCCTGTCTTGTTTGAATCTGATGAACTTTTGAGATGAATTTTGATACTGGAGTCGGTAGCCAATTTATGGGACAGTAAAGCAGAAAAGGCATGGATTTGCATAGAAATGGAGAGTTTGATTGCACTACAATTTGCAATGTCCCGGGGGTTTGAGTTTTGCTGTTCGACTATTTTAAAATCTGATCTTTTATTTATGGCCTCATTGTTTTTGTGCTGTCTCATGGTGCATTGGATTTGGCAATAAGAAAGGGATGCATACATTTTTCGATGTACAAACTGCTATCTGGTTTTTGCTCTTATACGTGAAATTTATGTTCATATTATGCAGTTTTTATGGGTGTGGTGTATACCATTGTTTCAGAATGTCACAGAAGCTTATACTTCTTCTGGTTCTTGTCTTTCTAGTGGGATACTGCTGGTCAGGAGCGCTTCCGAACAATAACAAGCAGTTACTACCGAGGGGCACATGGAATAATCGTGAGAAACTCTGATGGGCTATGTGTCTCTCTATGTGCAGAACATTATGATCATTATTTTGCCATGAGATGACCCTTTGGGACTTTTGGATTTGTATTTCAACAGATTGTTTATGATGTTACTGAGATGGAGAGCTTCAACAATGTCAAACAGTGGTTGAGTGAGATTGACAGATATGCAAATGACAGTGTCTGCAAACTTTTGGTCGGGAACAAATGCGATCTAGTTGAGAACAAAGTTGTAGATACGCAAACAGGACAGGTGCACTCTATAAGTCTGTCACCCTCTGTCTTCTTGTTATTCTTCATGTTCATTCTTATGTGGTAGGAAGTTCTTTAGTTATTTTCCTTCTTACTAGCTTAGATGAAGATTGAAGGCTGCTAATATTTGATGACTTCGGAAATTTTACCCTGCTTTGAGACTATTCCATGCGCCTCACCAAAATCTCACTGAACTACATTAGAAGACTAATAATTTATTGCAGCTACTAAATGAGCATTTGTAGTCTGTCCTTCCAAAGTGTTAGAAATAAGTTATTTTCTTGTTCCAGCAGCAAAATGGTGTCCTTTCTGTCCAATTTTCTCAACTCAGTGATTTATTACTACTGCAGGCGCTAGCGGATGAGCTTGGCATCCCTTTCCTTGAGACCAGTGCTAAAGATTCAATAAATGTGGAGCAAGCTTTCTTGACAATGGCTGCAGAAATTAAGAAGAAGTATAACTCTTATGCTCGTTGCTTTTACTCTCACCTTAGAGTTGAATACTAATCTTATTTGTGAAGCGTAAAGCTCCATTATAAATGCAAATACGTATTGCTGTGGGCTTAATCATACTGCTAACATCTTTAACAAGAATATCTAGCCATGATACACTACCTGTCATGCATTGGTGGCTGGCTGCTAGGAAACGTGGTCCAATTAACCATGTTCAGCAATAACCTCTGACGAGGCATAAGTTCCTTCCTGCTGTTGAAATTGATGATTGTTGTTCTGATTCATTCCCTTCAAATTTCTTATGGCTTTTGAAAGTGTCAATTCCATGATGCATGAACTTCTCACCAGTGATCTCATAATTTTTTTGCAGAATGGGTAACCAGCCGACTGCTACCAAGGCAACAGGAACGGTTCAAATGAAAGGACAGCCAATCCAGGAAAAGAGCAACTGCTGTGGTTAAGTGAGCTGAGTCGTGGTATTTTGCTCTTCCAACAGAAGCCTTGTTGGATGATGGACATTGAATATGTGTTTTTTACATTGTTTATATCGCCCGTAGAAGAAACTGTTGAACTTTTATGCCTCTACCTGCCTAACTTAATGAACTCGAAAGAGTTATCATAGATTCAGTTCACAGATCTTTCATATTGTTATTAGAGTGGCAAAACTGACTTAATGCATGTATTGCCCCTGACTTGCAACTCAGCCAGCCCGAGTTCGTCGATGATTTGGTGGTCCTGACTCGATTGATCCTTAGCTCGGTCGACACGTAATCTGGTTTATGTGTCTATCATTCAATCCGATTGGCATGTAGATAACTCATAATTGGTCATCGAATCGACTGACACTTAATTTGATGTACCCTTGAGTCCAAGTTATTTAAGATCGTAATGGGTATTGTAGACATCTGCAACTAGCTGAATGTTGCTTACAGCTTACTGGCCAGGCACTTTACATGAAAAAAGGAGAACAGAGTGGCTCCCGAACATCTCAACGGCAAAGTGGCTGCTTAGCCCCCATAGTCAGAAGATGAACATGCACTAGCTAGCAGGCATGATGAAATTCGGGTGTGAACGCGTTTCATATTATGCCGGCGCCAGATTTGAAACAGAGACAAATTGCAAGTGGTGGAACCAAGCACTATTATGGATACATCTTTGCATTATCTTTCACCAATAGGAGTTAGTGATCGCATCCAGAAGCTCACAAGTCACAACAGATAAATTAATAGAAGGGATAATATACCATAATCTGAATTTTAGAAGGTTCAATATGATCCGACATCCGAGGACACGGAGGATTATCCATCGTCAGCAATACAGTTTAATTTTCTACCAACCATTCATCTCAATATACAAAATTTGGGTTTAAGGGGGTGTATCACAACTTATAAATTGATTAGGTTATATATATAATTTTTTGCAAGTATGAGGATTATTTCCGGAAGTGGATACAAAATTTTATTTTAAAACACAAAATTTTGCATTGGTGGTCTATCTATGATCACAAACTGATGATTCTACGAGTAAAAGAGAATTCAATGGTTTTATAATGAAACATTTTCAATGTTAGAAGTGATCGACTAAACATGCATTGTGTCTACCACCTCAACCATCTAAAGTCCAAACTAAGGGGTTGTTTAGAGACTGAGATTTTAGAGGAAGTATTACATGTAATGATGAAAATTTATCATTTTATTTTATTTTGAGACATAATACTTGCATTTACCTTTTTCATTGAACATCGATAATTTTTTATGTATTCTCAATCTCAACCAAAAGATTAGATTGGGGTTAATTGCATGGTTGGACACTGAGATTACAAAAAACGTTTATGTTTGGTCACTCAAAATATTTAAATCCATTCAGGTTCACTACAATTAGTAAAACAATCCAAGTTTAGTCACTCTCTGTTAGTATCCGTCTGTCTCCGTGCGTCAGTTTTCTGATGATGTGACTAACAAACATGTCTGGTCACCCAATTTAACCTGCCACATCATATGACCCGACCCGCCACGTCAAACTACTATATAACCTAACCCAACCCAGTTCAACAACCAAACCGACCCTTTCTTCTTAACGTTTCAGGCAAATTAACCTAAAATCTTTTTTTATCAAAGAAATTATCCTAAATCAATTGCCTTCACTTTGACATCACAAACTTTTCGATTGCCTTCACTTTGCATTAGGAGAATCATATGTTTGTGTGGGAGCAGCTCTGCTTCGGGGTCAATCGAAGAAATGGAAAGACCTTGGAATCCCTCTTTCTCATCATCGATATCGTCAAAGTCAGACGATAAATGGAAAGACCTTGCAATTGTTGCGGCGATCAATTAAAGCACCATTCAGACCTGGTTGTTGAAGGGAATGCAAGAAAAATGAAGAATTAGAGTTCAGATTTGGAAAGGAAGAAGGGATAAACCCTTATTTTGTTTGAGTGGTTGGTTCCTGGGTAGGTGGGTCGGGTTGGGATGGACAAAATGACATGGCGGGTCGGATTTTACTATTTTTTATTTAAATTAGACTGACTAGGCGATTATGTCTGCCACGTCAGCACATAACGGTCTTGGTTAACTGAGACGGATGGAGACTAACCGAGAGTGACCAAACTTGCACTACAACAAATTCGGCCTATTATGACGAGGGAAATTTCGTCATATTAGATACCCATTTTGTCATATTAGGTATAATATGACAAAGGGTGTTGTCACAAATGTTTGTCATTTTATCGCCGTCAGGATAGGTCAAATGTGACAAATATTTAAAACAAAGTTGTCACATTTGCTTTCAGTATAGCTGAGGTTCTGGGTAGTATATTGTGACAAACATAGATTTTATGACAACATATTTTGTCATTACAGTTGTCATAATCTGGTGATTTTGGGACAATTGTTCGCCATATTACGCGATTATATTTTGTCATGACTATATATTGTGACGACTACATTTTGTCACAAGTGTTTATTGTGACGATATTGTTTTGTCATACCTGCATATATCGACGGATATATTTGTCAGGAAAGGTGCCTTATTTGTCTCATGTCTAATATGACAAGAGTTATTTTTGTCAGGCAATGTGTATGATGTGACAAATGGAGATGTTATGTCAACATTTTTTGTCATTAATTATGTCATAATTTGCTTATTTTGACAAACAATTTACATATGTGACGACATGACATTGTTGTCACTTTTGACCTGCTAAAAAAAATTCAAAATTGTTTACATTGCAACCTGACAATGGAAAGATTGCCAAAAATCCAAAACATTACAACCATTTCCATAGCATTCTAACTCCTTGTTCAACATAACCAAACATTCTAAGTTGTTCATCATGACACAAAACATTACACCTTGTTCACCATGACAGAAACCATTCTAACCAATCACAAACCGCTAAACAATATCTTCCCTCCACAAAAAGAGGGTTGGGGCACTGATTTTTAGGGTGGACTCTCGCCATTTCTTCTTCTCTTCCCCTTCTCGAGGACTTTCTTCTTCTTCTTTTCTGACACAGACAACGAAATTCTGCAAAACAGATACTTCCTTTCCCCCTCCCCCCTTTCCCCCTCAATAGACAGGCAACAAAACTCTTCTCGACTTCCTTCATTTCTGATAAAAAAGCACAGCAGCAAAATTCTACAAAGCTTCACTCACTTCCACTTTCTCAAACAAAAAAAAAAAAAAAAACACTGTTTTGCAATGGTTTAAAGGCACCCCATCTAATCTATACACTCTTTAGACTAAAAAACACTAGCCCACATACCATCACCCTCAAACAGAACTTCCCCATACAAAAATTTCCAGATTCATTCATATCTCAAACGAACAAGTAACCCACAAACAAAACGTAGATTCATATCTAAACCACCCTTCTCTTTTAAACAAAAATCAGGAAACCATAGCAACATACAACTTACAAGAGCTAAACACCATTACTACAAGTTAATTTCCATGAAATTTTCCATAACCAAAGACCACTAATTCACCATCATAAACACTCACCGGTTCCTTGATTCAAATCCATCATAAATCACACACTGCCCATTTTCAGAATTAGAACTAACTACCACATCTTACCAAAAAATCTCATTGTCCACGTCGTCATCGTCGGCGGCGTACCTAGGACTGCCGGTGGCAGTTCATTCTTTTCATTTTCTTTCTCTTCTCACCTGAAAACCCCAGTCGGAATTCAAATCAAAACAAAAAAATAAGTGGTCATAAAATCATTGGAAACTAGAAAAAACAAATTAAAAGGAGAAATCGGAACCTCACCAGAAGGGTTTCGTCGGTTGCCCGCGACATCGTCATATTTCATTGTTCTTCCCCTTTTTCCGTCGTCACTGTCGACTTCTTCTGTCCTTTCCTCCGTAATCATACCCTTAAAAAAACTCAGAAAATGATTTCAATCAGAACCCGAAATCAAACAAAAAGCGTGCATGTAAAAGAAACTTACGCGAACCCACGATTCCATCGTCGCCGCCGCCCTCATTCCGGGTTTTAATTTGTCGGCCGAGAGAATTGAGAGGGAAAGAAAGATTGGTTTCATTCCCACGGAGAAGAGATTCACGGGAGCCAAATCGGAAAGGAGAGAACCAGATCATGAAAAATAAAATAAGAGAATGTTGAGGGAAAGAAAGATGGGATGTGATCTTCCATTGCTCTTTTGGTCGCCATTTTCAGAATAAGAAAAGAGTTGTTCTCATGTCTTTGAGAGAAAACAGGAGAGGGAGGAAGAAGCTTAGGCGGCTAGGGTTAAGAGGATGGATGGTTGCGGCGATACCCAAGGTCCAAGACATGGGATGCGAAGACCTTTTAAAAATTAAAGAGAAACGATTACAATTTATGTAATTTGTCATCATTATATTATTATACTAATACTATTAATATGATAGTGGACTAGCGGTATAGGTTTTTCTGTGGTGAATATAATAATAAGTTTATGGGAAATGGGAAATGGGAATGAATAATGCAATAAATTGACCTTGGTGTAAACAGAACACGGAAGGTTTACTTTAAAGTGGATATGCCCAAATCTCGTAAGTTTTTTTATCGTAAAATCTCACAAGTTTTAATTAGTTTGAGTTAATTGTGATAATATTGTTCATATTTTATTTAAAATTTGCGAAAATAATAATTAAAATAACAATTTATTGACGCTTTGTTCATACTTTTAATATTAAATTCTTGTAAAATCGACGTTCTCGCTCCTGCTTCACGTTCTGATTATCTAATTCCAATTAACACAAGCAAATCTGATAAAAATGTCTTTTTGTCAAAAATTTAAACCACTATATTATGACGAACATGCCTTTTGTCAAAGTCGAAACCACTATATTATGACGAACATGCTCTTTTGTCAGCTCGCCATGGGATTAAATATTATCTATTGTGACAAAATACTTTGTTATTTAAACATTTCAGGAAGACATAATATGACAAAAGCTACTCTGACAATATAATTTGTCACTTTTGTGTCTCTTACACCCCGATATGGGATCACTATTTTGACAAACTTAATTGTGACACAGAATATTTGTCACATTCCTCACTTTAAATGAAGAACTATTCTGACAACAAAGAAATTTGTCATTGTTGAGTCTCTTACATCCCTATATGGGACGTCTATTTTGACAAAATTAATCGTGACACGAAATATTTGTCACATTACTCATTTTAAATGATGACTCATTCTGACAAATAGTTTTTTGTCACATTAGGTATACCAAATAGGACATATATTATTTTTGTCATATCACCGTACCTATTGTGACAAACAAAAAATGACAAAACAAAAAATTTGTCCTAATAGGCCGAATTTGTTGTAGTGTTGGACGGTTTTACTAATTTTAGTGACCACGAATGGATTTGAATATTTAGAGTGATCAAACATGAACATTTTTTGTAATCATAGTGACCAACCATGCAATTAACCCAATTAGATTGTGTGAGATTGTATTTTTGGATTAAATGCAACCTTTTCTTTTCATTTTCCAAATTAGGCAACTACTAAACAATATATTCTAAAAATTAATGTATTTATACAATTTCTTATTCCAATGCTTATATGCTACAAATGCAATTGGTTAAAAATAGTGGCACATACTAGGATTTCACTCAATAAGCAATTCCAATAGGCAAGCCGATGAAGATGCTCTAAGGAAAACAAAAAGTTAGAAGGATACAAGAAGGTTTGCTATATATGGAAAATTATTAGCCTGTTGGGTGTATATCTCGAAAATTGGTGGCTTGTTAATTAGGTTTCACACTTTTTAGTATACATTTGTAATAATCTATTATTTTAAATTCATCAAAATGATACAATGTCGAATATATGAAACACGATATGCATAATTTATTTTCATTTTTATAGAACTTCCAATATAAATGCACTTAGTAAAAATGATTGGACTTTGCTACGGTGACATGCATGTCACGGTGACATGCACTTTCCGGTCGACCTCATATAGGATCAGGTCGACCTAATCAGTTGTTTCAGTGTACAAACAGTTTCATGGTGCCTACTTATTTGGAGATTCATATCTTACAATTGGCTAGATGGAAATTGGAGATTAAAGGCTTGTTTTGAAGCTGAAGTGTCCCTCTACACATTAAAGTACTTGGGAGCTCAATAGAAAGTCTAGAAGACCATTTTTGAACCTGACCAAAAGGCTATGCCAAAACTGGGAAACTGCCTGAAAATGGCTAAGTCTGGCAACGTGTTTGTCAAGCCTACTTTGGAGCTCAATTTGACAAGCATGGATGCGAGTCAAGTCCAGGGGCCTTTACCACGTTAAATTACGTATTTTTTTATACAAAGGCAAGGCATTGAATGAAAGATTGAATATCTTTAAGGCTTCAAACAAAAGGGTCGAAGTTGCTACGAAGGCTGTTTTTCTGGCAGACTTCGAGCACAAGCAAGCTGCCAGAAAAACAGCCTTCGTAGCAACTTCGAGCCTTTTGTTTGAAGCCTTAAAGATATCCAATCTTTCATCCAATTCCTTGAATTTGTATAAAAACATACCTAATTTAACGTGGTAGAGGCTCCTGGACTCGACTCGCATTCATGCTTCTCGAATTGAGCTAAAAAATAGGCTTCACAAACACGTTTCCAGACTTAGCCATTTCTAGGCAGTTTCCCAGTTTTGGCATAGCCTTTTGATGAGGTTCAAAAATCGTCTTCTGGACTTCCTATCGAGCTCTCAATCACTTCAATATGTAGAGGGACACTCCAGCTTCAAAACAAGTCATTAGTCTTCAATTTCCATCTAGCCAATTGTATGATATGAATATCCAAAGTAGGCACCATGAACTGTTTTTACACTGAAACAACATATTAGGTCGACCGAATCCTAAATGAGGTCGACCGGATCCTATATGAGGTCGACCGAATTCTATGTGAGGTCGACCTAATCCTAACTGAGGTCGACCGGAAAATGCAAGTCACCGTGACATGCATGTCACCGTAGGCACACCCAAAATGATTTTGTTTTGCTATACCTAACCGTGCATAATGAAATGAAAAAAAAAAAACCTGCATGTAATTAGGTAAGATAAATCACCTCGATGTACTATACATCACACGACAGTCGACACACATGCCGAGTATCTTACTTTTACATATTGATCATTTATATATACTTTAAGAATTTCTATATACTATAAGGATACAAATTTCTATATACTTTAAGAATTTCATTATATAAGGATGCATATATGATCATTTAAGTATATCATATGTACCACATTGTCATTGATAAACCATTACAAAAAGGCTGTACATATTAATAGACAACTTGTAAACTTTACAGCAAATATTTGTAAATTCATCTGTAAGGTAGTTTACAAATTATTTTTTAAAACCTTAAACTCTTTCTCTAACCATTTACTAACCAGAGAAGAGAACAATGTATTGTATATACATGAAATAGAGGGTGTACCTAATTATAAATAGGGATTCCTATCATAACTTGAAGTAAGGTAACATCATTTTTTTACATGCTATAGCAATTTCACAGGTTGCGTTATGTAAAATACAATAGGTATTACGTAATGGTTATGTAACGTATGGTCATCTTATGTAACAGTTGTAAAATGCCAGTACGGAAACCTTACGTAATGGACGGTTATTTTACGTAATGAATAACAATATTGCATTATGTAAAGTGTAAAGTCATTACGGAAGCCTTACGTAACACTTCCGATTTATTGTTACATATGAAATAACTGTCATTCTTAACATCTACGTAATGGAAGGGCCTTTTACGTAATGAGTATTAACCTCGTGTTACGTAAATTGCTAAGTCATTACGGAAGCCTTACGTAACGCTTCTGATTTAACTGTTACGTAAGACATAACTGTCATTCTTAACTTTTACGTAATAGAAGGTACTTTTACGTAATGAGCATTAACCTCACGTTACGTAAAGTGTTAAGTCATAACGGAAGTCTTACGTAATGCTTGTGATTTAACTGTTACGTAAGAAATAACTATCATTTCTTTACCTTTACGCAATTGATGTGTATTTACGTAACAGTTGTAAAATGTCATTACGGAAACATTATGTAATGGAAGGTCCCTTTACGTAATGAGTATTAACTTTGCATTACATAAAGTGCTAAGTCATTATGAAAGCCTTACGTAATGCTTCTGATTTAACTAATTACATAAAGTATTAAATTATTATAAAGTATTAAATTATTACGGAAGTCTTACGTAATATACTTCTCATAAAATCAACACTCAGAATCATTAAAGATAAAAATGAAAAGAATAAAAAAAACACGGAAAGTTAGAATCAAAACAGGTTAAAAGGAAAGGGATTCTATGGGTGGGTTCCGATGACAATGAGAACTGGTGACCTGCAGACAGGGACAGGGAGATTATGGGAGGATGTGATAACAACATACCTCTCTTCTTTGATTGACAAGGAACAGGACTGGTGGGAGGTCATTATGGCTTCGAAGATTAAAGTCGCCAAATATGGATGATCTGGTAAGGCTGCTTTGGTGAATGCTATCTGCCCATATCAGATAGTGGATTTCTCGATTGAAGACATGGAGATTAGTATGAAGAGGGCGAATTCGAGTATGCTCGACCGCTTGTTCATGGAGAATCTCCCAAGCTTGTCAGTTATCCAACGCATTGTGATGAGAGCTTGGAACTGTAAGCAGGTTACGGTTCTGGAAGCAAAACACGATCTGATCCAGTTTCTGTTTAATGATCTTGAGGACAGGGAGTGGGTTTTTTAGCGAACTCCATGGCTAGTGAAGGACAGAATCTTACAGCTGCAACCTTGGGAGCCAATCACGGAGGTTGTGGTGGAATCTCTTGCATTCGCTCCCTTATGGGTGCAGATGTGGGAAATTCCCAACCATTGTCGTACTATAGCATTCGGCAGGAGGATGGGTGGTACCAAGCTTGGTCAAGTACTTGATGCTGGTATGTATGGCATCAGCGGCGAGCCGGGCCATTTTGTGACGACAAGGGTGCTGATTAATGTGTTGGAACCCTTGCATTCTAAGCTATATGCAAGAAACGATAGTGCTAGGGAATTCTTGGTATCGCTCATCTATGAGTTCCTACCTCAATTATGCTATCATTGTGGCAGGTTTGGCCATATGGAGAAGAGTTGTGAGTTCCCAGATCCTGAAGGTGATGAGGAGTTTAGCTAAGGCATGACAACAACAATGCAGGGTTACAAACTGAATGATGGCAGCCTGATATCGGCTAGTAACCAACAACCGATTCAGAAGACTGTCTGGATTAATCCCAATGCTGGAGGTCCATCTAGAAAGGTGGCGATGGAGGAATGGGGCAAAGGGCACGGAAAGAATGAGAGTCTGAAACGTGACAAGGGCGGGAAGAGATCGACAAAGAAAGGGACAACCATCTCTGGGTAGGT